AATTCTATGTTCCATGGTCCCAAGGCTGACAGCCTTCAGACAACCATGTGACGGTAGCAACCTCCGGAAGGCGATTACATGTTAAGCGTCTGTGATTTCTGCTCTGTAGCCACTGCTTCCTTGCTTCTGTTTGCCACTGGATGAGGATGGAAAATCCTGCAGTCCCCCAAGACAGATCTCCCATACCTTAGAAGTATAGGTTAGTGCATCTTTGACTTATAAGACTGTTGTTGTTGTATGTACCGTGGAGTCAGTTCCGACTCGTAGTGACCCTGTACAGAGTTTCCAAGGCGGTAAATCTTTATGGGAGCAGAAAGCCTCATCTTTCTCCCGCAGAACAGCTGTTAGTTTCGAACTGGTGACCCTGAGGTTTGCAGCCCGATTCGTAACCACTACGCTACCAGGGCTGTTTTTACAAGACTAGTCTCCGCCAAAGAACTCATCATCTTGGAAACACTAAAGAAGTTTCTTTCAGAAGAATCAGTTACTAGCTCCATTATTAGGAAAAAGGGAAGACACTGATTATCAAACAAACATAGCCAGGTTCCAACAAAGACACTGAATAACACCAAGAAGAGATCACAAGGTGACACTGTGGTGGGGTCACAGACTGGTCCCCACTGCTGCCTCACTTCTGCCCACATTGGAGGAAGCAGGGGTAGAGATTTCAAAAGAACTATTTCAAACTACCAATTAATAAAGCAGGAAGTGATACACGTAATTACAGGAAATTAAAAAAACAAAAAAAGATGTAGCCATGTTTGTACTCTAAGATCACAGAAGAGACCATCGTGGTTACATCCACAATGCTAGGATGCTTGTCATCCTTACAAAGTTGCTAGGGACTATTCCTGCCAGAGCCAGGGTTTTTGTCCTGTATAGGAACAGGCTTCACCACTGCAGCTGACTCCTGGTGTGGCACTGTACAATCAGCACTGGACTACGAACCGCAAGGTCAGCAGTTCAAACTCACCAGCGGCTCCTCGGAAACACTATACAGGCTTGCTATGAGTTGGAACTGACTCAATAGCACACACCAGCAACAACAGTCTGCAATAGTGTAGACAGTGACAGCTGAGTTAGAAGGCTCTCTGAGCTCTACAGTTCCCTTCCTTCAATAAAGGATTTCATTGGAAACTCTGAGTTTTCAGCAAAAAGCTTAGCAATTCGCTGTAGGATAAGCACTGAACTACTAACCTCAAGGTCAGTGGTTCAAACCCACCAGCCACTCCTTAGAAATCCTACACAGGGTCACTATGAGCCAGAACTGACTTGACAGTATTGAATAACAACAGTCTCCTCTCCTGAAGTCTCTCAAAGCATTCTGGAAGACTCCCCCTGTGAATTCTAGAAACGGGCAGCATTTACGTTGGCTCCCGAACTTACCTGATATGGATTTCTCACCAGCCTCCAGATGGTAATAATTTCTGCAGTATTCTCCCAGAAGGTCAATTAGAGGTCATAGGTACCCCAAAATTCATGGAGCCTTAGGGGTCATAAGGAGCTCTAGTAGCATAGTGGTTACAAATCGGGCTGCTAACATCAAGGTCAGCAGTTCAAAACTACCAGCCAGTCTGTGGGTGAAAGATGAGACTTTCTGCTCCCGTTCAAACTCTGTACAGCGTGACTATGAGTCAGAACCAACTCCACAGTAATTAACATAGGGTATCATATACTTAGGAGTCCTGGTGTGGTGCTGCAGGTTAATGCACTGGACTGCAAGGTTGGTTTGAACCGCAAGGTCGGTGGTTCAAACTCACCAACCACTCCTCAGAAACCCTATACAGGTTCTATGAGTCAGAACCAACTCAATGGCACTTAACTACAACAAACAACATCTTCACTCAAGTGCACAAAGTCCTAGCCATTGTACCCGATATGCCCTATTTTTGCAGGTTATATTTGATCTTTACCTAGTGTGGCATAGGACTCTTATGTTGACAAGAGATCAGAGTGACATACACATGGAGTATTCTAAAATTAAAACCCCAAATTAAATACCTTGATCTGGGAATTTACAGAGAATTCCCCTAGTTTCAGAGAGTATTGCTGGGTAGCCTATTGTTTGTAATTAGTTCTTGAATGACTGCAAAGAATTTACCAGACAAATTTGCCTAGGAACACTTGGATCATCCCCTTGTGGAAGGCAGAATAAAGGTCCTACCAAAAATGTCCATGACTTAATTCCCAGAACCTTTTAATATGTTACCTCTCATGGTACAAGAGATTTTGTATGTGTGGCTAAGGTTAGAGATGTGAGAAAAGGAGATTATTCAGGTAGGCAAGAGGTCCTTTCCAGCTGTGTTCATAGAAAGATGTGACTACAGAAAATATGCAGTGTTGTCAGCTTTGAGGATGGAGGAAGGGATCATAAACCAAGGAATGCAAATCTCCAGGAGCTGGAAAAGACAAGGAAAGGGATTTTTCCCCCAGAGCCTGTCAACACTTTAATTTTACATCCGTGAAACCTGTGTTGTACGTCTGACCTTCACAACTGGAAGATAATAACTATGTGTTGTTTTCACATCACTAAGCTTGTCATTCATTACAGGCAATTTGTTACAGTAGTAAGGAAAATTCATACATTCATGACGGAAAGTAGATCTAAAAGTCTTGGTGTGGTGCTGGTGCTGTGGGTTAGTGCACTAGTGAGCCACAAGGTCAGTGGTTCAAGCTCACCAGTCACTCCTTGGAAACCCTATATAGGGTCATTATGGGTTGGAACTGACTTGACGGTACTCAACAACAACAAAAGCCCCATGGATAAAAACCCTAATGCATTCAACAAACAAACCCAATGCTCACCTAAAATAAAATGCTAGACTACTGTTGTTGTTGTTGAGTGCCGTCAAGTTGATTCCAATCCACAATGAACCTGCATAGGGTTTCTGAGGAATAGCTGGTGAGCTTGAACTGCCAACTTTGCAGTTCAAACAGCTTTGCAGTCTGGCGCATTAGCCCACAGTGCCAAGCAGACTATGTTTGGCCCTAAATCCCTGCCCTTGTTTATGCTGGATCCATGTCTTTCCCTCCTACATCCCCCAGCTGGACTTCAGCTCATCTAATTAAACTTGTTGTGCCCAACTGTGTGTCCCACCATCTCTGACTTCCACCCTTTCATGAGAAATGTGAAACTCATTTGCTTTATCTCCCAGAATTCATCTTTGCTCAGTGTTATTGTTAGTTGGCTCCAACCATGGCAACATAATGTATAACAGAATGCAACACTGCCAGGTCCTGAGCTCTCTTCGTGACTGTTGTGACTACTGGGTCAATCCACCCCGCTGAGGGGCTCCCTCTTCTCCACCGACCCTCTACTCTACCTTTTCTAGTGATTGGTCTGACCTGAAGACGTGTCCAAGGTAATGAAGTCAAAGTTTTGACATCCTAAGACATACTCAACACAAATCCAGCTACTTCAGAGTTGAACGATATTGACGTTTGAATCCCTAATAAATAAGCACCCATTTTTGAAGCATATTTGGAAGCAACTGAGAAATATAGATGAAAATGGTTGCCTTATTGCTGATAAAATGGACCGAAAGCATGACTTGAGTCCTGTAGCCAAAAGGTCTTGCTGACTTTGCCTGCTCTCCACCTCTTGGGTGCAGAGCATGGGGCTGCCCACCTGATGAAAAGTTTGAGTCCAGGGAGCTAAAACACTCGGTCATGACTGCTGTCTCACACTGATCCAGGACAGGAAAAGGATGACAATGAGAGGGGAAGGCCTCAGTAAATGAAACTTTTAAATTAAATAAGTTTTAGTTCACTGTGAGCAGTGTATCTAAAAAACAAAACAAAACCCTGTGTTGTGAGAAAGGAGAGAATGTTAGCACTCCCCTTGATAAGGATAAAAGAAGCCCTTGGACCTTCCACCACACATACAGTTAAGGCATTGCCACCTACTTTGTGGCATCTAACCATGTTTTTTTCTGAGGACTCTAGACTCATGGAAAGAGAAAGACTGAGTGCTGGTGGCCAGGAGGTAGGCTTGCAGAATATGCCTTCTGGTTGTTTAAATTATTATATATTCCTGAGTGTTTTTGTGTATATCGTGCCCCACTCCCCCCAAAACAAACAAATAAAACAGAGGGAAGAGAACAAACACTATCGAACGATGATGTATGGAGGAGATTGTAATCATTACAATGAAATGATAGTGTAAAGCTGATGTTCTCCCATGTAAACTGTCACTCAGTTCACAATAAAAACTTAAAACAAAACAAACCAAAAAAAACCCTGATGGATTGAGATTTTAGGAGTAAAGTTATAGAAATTCTTCCATGTGGTTTCTTAGACATCACATGGAGAATTCCTTAAGACATTTCACAGTGGCTAGTTCAGGTGGCTCAGGACAATGACACTAACCAACAGCCATCAAGTTGATTCCAACTAATGGCAATCCCATGTGGGTCAGAATAGAGCTGTGCCTCACAGGGCTGTCAACGGCTGGCTTGTTTTTTTGAAAAGTAGGTCACCAGGCCTTCTTCCAAGTGGACAATAACTTCCAACCTTTCAGTCAGCACCAAACTAGTTAACTGCACCACCCAGGGACTCCAGAGACAGCACTAAACCTGTTCAAGTCCAGATTCTTCCTATGTGACCTTCAGAAAACAACTTTATGTATCTCAGGCTTAGTTCCCTCAACTGCGATCCACACCTTGTCTGCCTAAATGTTAGAGACAGTGTGAGGGTAGGGTGAGGTAATGTACATAAAAGCATTCTGAAATGTGCAAAAGTTTACAGATATTATGTACTTTTAAGAATTCAGGAATTCTTCAATACTGACCAAATTAGATCATAAATGTGAAATAGCCTAAACGTTGAAGTATAAATGGAAGGCATCAGATATACAAACCTGTTCTACATTAAACAGATATCCAAATTTGCCAATAAAAGAGTACCAAGAGACCATTAGCTTTATAATACCCATTCTAACACTATAACTTAAAACATGAATGCATTTTATTAGAGAAGATATTTCTTATTATAGGACTTACGTTATTGCTGCATGTCTTGTAGCGAATGTTCTGCCCTTCACAATTCCTAATTAGGGGAAAAAAGAAAATTATGATTTCATAGAAGTGACAGGCATCACATACAAAGCAAAAAACAAGGCACTGGTTTTCTGTGAAACTTTAAGAGTGCATATTTGCCTCAAAGGTTCAAAGTTTGTATTCTAAGAAATCACTTTGAAGATCAGAGATCTGAAGTCTCACAGAAGAGTATCACATCCAATCAAGAGGCAACTCTTTAGTGGATTTAATGCAATAATATTAGCCATGTGGTCTTTATCCTGGAGGCCATATCACTACTAAATTTAATGGATAAATGAGTTTACTTGTGCAGATGTGGCTTTTTTCCTCTGAGGAAGAAGAAGTGATTAGCAGATGCATTTGTGTAGCAATTCTATACCCCAAACTCAAAATCAAACCCATCGAGCAGATTCTGACTCACAGAGATCCTCTAGGACAGACTAGAATTGGTCCATAGGGTTTCTGAGACTGTCAATCTTTGTAGAAGCAGACTGCCTCATCTTTCTCCTGTGGAACGCTTGGTGGCTCCAAACTGCTGACTAACACTTAGCAGTCCAATGCTTAACCCGCCACACTACCGAGACTCCTTAAAGCATACATACATAAAAATACACAGATCATAAGAGTTTACTCTGACAATGAAGAAGAGTTGAACTACGTTGGCACTTTGTCAACAGAGGTAACAACTCCACTTGTGGAAGGTTGTGGATTATCTGGATTATCCTGGGAATGAGGATGATGCTTGCAGTCAGAACATTAGTGAGAGTTCTCTATATGGTCCTTTCCTTTTTATTTTCTTCATCACATGAGTATTGCTCAGAAACATCTCACTACCTTCCCAATGGTCCTATCAACATTCACAAAATGATCAGCATTTGGGTCCATGTTTTCAAGCAACTGAAGCTCCTGATTTAGTTTAAGCTAAATCTATAGAGCATTGGTTTGAATAGCTGAGAGTGAATATCTGAGAATGGTAACATCAGTAAATTATGAGCTGGAAAACCGCATGTTTTACTAATGTAATTATTGACTGCACTCCTATTACTAGCAATGAGATATACAACAACAACAACAACAAAGGGAGGTCTTAAATGTGGTTTGTTGTAACTGCAAATCAGGACCACATATAACTGCAATTTTTCATCACTGCATTATTTTCTTCCTTTTTTTGCATGAGACCCACTTGTTAGTACATACTGGGGCCCAAGCACATTTCTTGAGGAGAAATTTGCACAGGGCAGTGACCACACAGGATTCTCGTGTGTTGCAGTTGAACTTTGTACCCCCCCAGACATGCCCTTCCTCCACCCTTCCCTTCTCACCTACAACTCCATCCTTCTGGATAATTCTATTTTTGTTGATGACAAAAGCAATGAGGATACATGGCAATGAAATGGTATATGATAGAATGAATGTAAAACTAATGTTCTCCCATGTAAACTATCACATAATTCACAATAAAACATTAATTAAAAAAAAAAAAAAGCAATGAGGTGAAAAAGAGTAAACTGCCAAAAAAAACATTACCAAACCAAACTCACTGCCATCAGTCAATTTCAACTCAGAGTGACCCGATATAACTGTAAATCTTTAAGCGAGCAGACGGCATTATCTTTCTCCTACTAAGCAGCTGGTGGATTTAAAATGCTGAATTTGTGGCCAGTTGCCCAATGCTTAACCCACCACACTGTAGGACCAAAGAGAAGAATCCATTTCGTATATAAGCTTTAGCACGTCCTCTAGCTCCAAGAAAATGATATATGTATAAATAGCCAGGCAGCTCAAGGCCAGAGGCCAGATGTTTTCCTTTACCCTAGCCTAAGAACAAAGACCACCAGTCCTGACCAATTAAACTGTAACATCTCATAGTTTGCCAATTGTTAACCAATCCAAAGATTGTAAAGCTGAGAAACCTGAGCTGTTTGAAAACTCTATAAAAACCCTGCAGACAATAAGTTCGGGGCTCTTTCCCTATTCCGCTGCCTCGGATAAGGTTAGAGACCTGGCTCGAACTTGAATAAACAACCCTTATGTATTTACATAGGTACATGGCTCCTGGGTGGTCTTTGGGGACCCCGAATTCTGGGCATAACAACACCACCAGGAGTCCTTCCAAGACGTACTTCCAAGGGGAAGGCTTAATTAAAAACTTCCATCACCAAGACCATTACTCACTATTTTTGGATTTTATGTTCCAGTGTTTCATGTTTCTGTCATGACTTACTTTATTTAAAGAGTTGAAATCATATTGAATATTCAGCTTTGCATTTTGTATTCCTCCATTATCATATGCATTTTGGCATTTCATTAATAACTCCTTAACAATCTTGTTTTAATTACTACATAATAATCCATTGTACAGATACTACCCCCCTTTGTGATTATTTGTTTTTTCCCTTTTTTCCCACTTTTCAAATTTACCTGCAGCAAAATTCACTTTTGTTGGGCGCACAATTTTGTGAGTGTTGACAAACACATACAGTCATATAAACATAATCAATCTATGGAACAGTTCCACCACCCCCCAAATTCCCTCTTGTTGCTCTCTTCCTACTCTGGCTATCAGTGATCTGCTTTCTGTCCCTAGAATTCTGCCTTTTTCTAGAATATCATATAAAGGGACTCATACAGCCTATAGTTTTTGCATCTGACTTCTTTCATTTAGTACAACGCATTTGAGACTCATCCATGTTGTTACATATATCAGCACTGTGTTCCTTTTTAAAGTGTGGAAGAGCAAAGATGTCAGCTTGAGGACTAAGGTGCGCCTGACCCAAGCCATGGTATTTTCAGTAACCTCATATGCATGTGAAAGCTAGACAGTGAATAAGGAAGACCGTAGACGAATTGATGCTTTTGAGTAATGGTGTTGGAGGACAATATTGAAAGTGCCATGGGCTGCCAAAGAACCAGTAGGTCCAATTTGGAAGAAGTTCAGCCAAAGTGCTCCTTGGAGGCCAAGATGGCCAAACTTTGTCTCTCATACGTCATACATATTGTCAGGAGGGACCAGTTTTTGGAGAAGGATACCATGTTTGGTAAGATGGACGGTCAGAGAAAAAGAGGAAGACCCCCAATGAGATAGATAGGCCAAGTGGCAGCATCGATGGACTTAAGCGTGGCAACAGTAGTGAGGTTGGCCCAGAATCAGATAATGTTTCGTTCTGCTGTGCATAGGATTGCTATGAGTTGGTACCAACTCAATGGCACCTAACAACAACAACTTGATTGTATAAATATACCTCAGTTTTGTATCCACTCATAAGCTGAATGGCATTTGGACTTTGGGCATTTATTAAAAGAACAAGCAAAAATCCCTGCTATAAATAGTCACCTAACAGATTTATGTGAACATAAGTTTCCATTTCTCTTAGGTAAATGCCTAGATGTGGGACTGTGGGGTCCACTTTGCTTTGTAAAGCATGTTTATTAATATTTCAATAATTTATTTAGGATACAGCTCTAGAAGTGAAAAATAAATGCCAGTCCCTTAAAAAAATAATATTTTATTATGTTTTTGGTGATGTTTACCCTGCTGGTATTAAAACAGTGGTGGCATAGCGTCCAGCATCACAGCAACATACAAGCCACCACAGTGTGACAAACTGACACATGAGTGGTGGTCTCTCATACTTCCAACGTATTATCAGGAGAGACCATTCCCTGGAGGAGGGCACTATGCTTGGTAAACTGGAGGGTCAGTAAAAAGAGGAAGACCCTCACCCACAGGAGATGGATTGGCACAGTGACAGCAGCAATAGTCTCAACTTAACAACAACCCTAACAAAAGCGGGTAACCAGGTCTTCCTTTCACAGCATTCTGGTTGGGTGTGAACCACTAACCAGATTGTCGAAAGTAAACCAAGTGTGCCACTTAGGGTCCTATCTTGACTTAAATGGACTACATTATATATTGTATAACAATATTCAAGAGCCAGGAGCTCTGGTAGCATAGTGGTTACAAATCGGGCTGCTAACCTCAAGGTCGGCAGTCAGAAACTACCAGCTGTTCCACAGGAGAAAGATGCGGCTTTCTGCTCCCGTAAAGATTTACAGCCTGGAAACCCTATGCAGGGTCACTATGAGTCGGAACCAACTCCACAGTACTTAACAACAACAACAACATTCAAGAGCCACATGATTGCACGCCAGTGTAAGGCAGCGGCCGATGTGCCACTTTGGTGCCAAGATTCAGGCAGGGTCGGCTCCAGACTTGCAGAACTCCTGGTGTGGTGCTGTTGCATCAGCACTGGACTGTGAACCACAAGGTCAGCAGTTCAAACTCACCAGCTGCTCCTCCAGAACCCTATACAGTGTAGCTATGAGTCAGAACCCACTTGGCAGCATTTAACAATAACATTGACTTAAATAATGGAGTACAAAAACTGTTCAAATAATGTTTTTTCTTTAAAAGTATTTTGGAACTTTAGAAATAATTTATCTGACTTAGAAAATAAATTTACAACTAAAAGGAAAGAACTTACCAGTTGAAGGTAGCTTAAGGCTGTACCTCAGGCTCTTAAATGGATCATATAGTCTTGGTCAACACCCTCTGTTGTGTCAGAATTCTAAAATGACCATCAGATGATGCATGGAGGGGATTGGAACCATGGCAATGAAATGATATACGATGGAATGAATGTAAAACTAAAAGTCTCTCATGTAAACTATCATATAATTCACAATAAAACACTTTTTTTTAATGAATAAAATGACTATCTAGATGATATTCCACAAGAAGACCCTGAGTGGTACAATAGTTAACATACTCAATTAATGGAAAAGTTGGAGGTTTGAGTTCACCCAAAGGCACCTTAGGGAAAAAGGCTGAAAACTCAGCCATTGAAAACCCTTTGAAGTACAGTTCTACTCCAACATACACAAGGCCACTATGAGTAGGAAGGGACTCAACAGCAATTGGTTTACCTAGGAGGTGCTAGCTTGCATCTAGACTATTGAGCCTGAAAAACTATTCCTAAAAATCGTCTCTGCTATGAATCCCACTACAGT